AGTGCAGCCTGTGGAATTGATGATGCAGTGCTTGATGCATGAGAGAATAAAATTCACTTTGGTAACTGTTGATATTAATTAATTTCCACTGCCAATGTTGGGTCAATAATTCCTCTAAACCAGATCCCCTGTCAGTGTCATTGCAACTTGTTCTTTAAAGTAGTGTATTCACATATTACAGTATCATCATAGGCATTAAAGCATTATTGTTTCCCGATTTTGATGGATCACATTGTATTAGAGCTAAAATATGTTTGTGCTTTTTACCAGGTTTGCCACATTCTCAGTGTTACAATTTTCTCTAAATCAGAATCTCAGTCAAATGTTTTGCTGACGTAACATTGTGTTGAATATAATCCCTTAGGCTTCTGTAAGAAGATGCTAACAGTAGTCAAGAACAGCTGCATTTGACAGCGAAGTGTGAGAATCTCCTAAGAAATGTGATTGACTTGCTAAGCAGATTATTCTTTTAATACAATATGTATTCTGAAAAAGTACAACAATCAGATTGAAAATAAAGAATTTCCTTCAGCTAGCTTTTTTAAATTACTATGTAATCTGTAGTTTCAGCAAAATTAATAACTGACATTCAGGATAAAAAAATACAGCATGGCATTCAGTGGAATATCTTCAAAAGAAGCTTCCTTGAGGCAGTGTCTGCACTTTAAACCTTGGTTTCTAGATTAAAGGTTCTTTAATCAAGAATTAATGAACCTGGCACCATTTGATACTGTATAAACAGGGGCTTGTCTACTATTAGGGTAACTGCATTTCTTGATTGAGGGTTAAAATATGCTTTTTATTGCCAGGAAGCAAACAGAATAATATGTAATAAACACTGCAATGCGCTTTTTGATATCTGGTTGGGATGAGATAGTGAGTTGCTATATTAGCAAGTCTCTGATTCCTGTAAACTGCATTGTTGGAGGTGCTGTCAACAACAACAACTTGCATTTATACACAGGTAGAGTCCCAGAGTGCTTGACAGTGGCGGAGCATGATTCAGAGTTCGGGGGAGGGGACATAGGCACAGTCAAATAGGATGGTCTTCAGGCGTGACCCAAAGATGGGGAAAGAAGGGGCAAGGCAGAGGGATAGAGGAAGATTATTCCAGAGATTCGTTTGGAACTTGACCTTGGAACTCAACATGGGGTAAACTTCCACATGTACGCGGATGACACGCTCATCTACTTTGCCTTCTCCACTACCAACTCCAGGTCCGCCGATGTTCTATCAGATTGTCTGGCAGGGCCTGGATGAGTGCAAACTTCCTGCAGCTGAATATGGACAAAACAGAAGCCATACTCCTTGGCTCCCGTCAACGTCTTCCATCCTGCAGATATGAACTCCTCAACCTCCCTCTGCTCTCCCTCAGCCTCACCGAACCATTGCGCAACCTAGGCATCCGGTTTGACCCCCACCTGTCCTTCATCTTCCACACCTAGTTCCTGACCAAGACTGCTTTCTTCCATCTCCGCCACATTGCCCGCCTCCGACCGTAGCTTACGCCAAATGCAGCCAAAACCCTCGTGTATGTGTTTGTCACCTCCCACTTGGATTACTCAAACGCCTCCCCAGCTCCACTATTCAAAAGATCCAGCTCATTCAGAACTGCCGCCCGCATACTGCCGGGCCAAACTCTGTATCCACATCTCATCAGTTCTTGCCCCCTCTCTCCCCTTCTTCAAGTCCTGCTGAAGATCTTCCTCTTCGACCGTGCTTACGGCCACCTCCTCCTCACCCCAGGCTTGGAGTCAGACTCCACCACTGTTAAGCACTCTGAGATGCTACCCTGTGGCTGTTCAGGTGGGTGACACAATTTGAAAAGAGAAGGATGTTTCTTCCAGTTTCCTGGCCAACATAATTAGTCATTTACCTCACTACTGCTAGTGAGAGGAACACTGTTTTGTGCAAAATGACCCCTGCAAATAGTCTACAAATTGACTACAAATAGTCATTACAAAGATGCACTCTATCTTTGTCTCCGAACTGTGGAAATTTGGCCCTTGAGCCAGACCTTGTGGTTAATACTTCCTCATGAAATGCTTTACATATTCCACGCAGCATGTCTTCTTGTAGCCAACAGGCTTCATTTGTCGTTCTGACTTGTACTCAATTTCAGTCTCAAGCAGCCTGTGATGCTACCATATTTGGTCTTCAAATGCCTGGCAGTGGTTCATTTGAGGATCTGTGTGTTTTTAGTTTCCCATAAATGGGAAAGATACCACTGGGCACGGCTGTTTCATTTAGATTTGGTTAATATTTGGGTAGTGGTCGCATAATACTGTACTTGGAAAATAATTTATTGATAAATGAAGTTCATAAAATTATTTAAAAAGTGGACTTGGGGTGCATCATTTGTTAGTGGGACACCAATCTGTGCTGCTAAATATGACATAAAATTTGAGTAAAATGCATATTATTAGTGTTTACCATAATGCATTAACTGTGAAAGGCCGGCCCGCTGTTCATGATGTGAACTGCACACATTGGAGCCTCATTTGCAAATGTAACTATTGCAGTTATAAAACATTGAAAGTGCTGAAGAATGCAACAGTATTTTAGAAATCCAATATTTATATATTTCCTATGAAGCAATCTACTCTTATTAATTACTGTAAATCATACTCCAGTGTTTAGATATTTCTTGTTTACTAGTGGTGATTTTTGTTTCGTGGTGAGTTAATGTGCAGGCTCAGCATTAACTTTGTGTGTGGAATTAAATGCTATCGTGAAACCAATAGATAGAAAATTGAATCCCTGGAACTCTTAAATTTTTTATCAGTTTTCTCCTTTATAGTGACATTTTATAATGCATTTGGCATGAGTGGATTCTCTAGGCCTGGAAGAGGTGATAATGTGATGCAGTCTTATATCAGGAGTTTTCTTTCACAGTACAGTCTAAGATTCTTACAGTCAGATAAGCGTTGGATGTTTTAGTTTGCATCATTAATAGAGTACACTTAGACTCAGGTGGAATTTTTACCCAAAGAACCAGAACTCAAAAGGGTTTGATTCCCCACCATGCCCCCACCCCACTCTCCTTTTTTTTGTTTGTATACATACATACTCATGCATACGCATACACACCCATTAGCGTGGTGCCACAGCTAATTTACAAGGGTAGATCAACAAATACTGTACTAATGCAGCTTCTGCCCTCCCATACTATCTAATGAATAACTGCATATTTTTCTCCAACAATATGGCAAATAAGCTTTTTTCCTCTTGATGGTTCGTGTTACTACAGAACACTTTGTTTATTTGGGTCATTTCCTGTTTAAAACTGGAATGAGAACTCAATAGGAAAGAGGTTAAAATGAAGTGAAATACTCCATGTTTGCAGTCCTTACTTACAGCAGCATTTAATCACTACGCATAAAAGTAGAACAAAATGGGCAGAAAATATGTTCTGCATTTACAGGGAAACTTTATTACGACCATGTGACATGAGTTTTATTTTTGGCAAATGTGTTCCTTCAGTCAAATAATATTAGTTTGTTAGTATCGAACATTTCACACCACATTTAGCATGTTAATTCTATGATTCTATGAATAATTGGGACCAACCCTATTTTTCTCTCTGAGTCTCTTTTTATTGCTCTTTCTCCACAATCTCTCTCTCTAACCTTGAACTTTATAATGTAAAATTGTACAGATGCTATCAGCAAAAAGGAATACACTATTGTTGAATATATGCTAAGTTTCAAATGCTTCCTGGGGTTGTTGATATCACATAGCCAGCATCAGAGCATCCCTAGTAACCTGGCATAAACACGCAACAATATTTTTCCTGGTATCTTACAGGCAGATAAATGGTTTGTGGATAAATAACATTCGATTAAGTATCAATTTCTGGACAGTTTTTTTTATTGTGGAGCTTTGCTTATTGGGACTGATCACTGCTTAAATTTTACCCTTTGCATTTGAAGTAGGGCCTTATCACACTGAAAATCACTTTACAAAGTTTTTTGCAAAGTTTAGTTACTCTGTATTTTGTAAGCAAATACAGTAGCCAATTTGTGCACAGCAGTATCCTATAACCAGCCATGAAGTAAACGACCAATTTTTCCAATTTTTTTTGCCTGGGGGATTGTTATTCAGAACATAGAGAAGAAGGAAGAAACTCCCTTCTCTTTTTGAAAAGAGCCATGGGCTCCTTAACATCCACCTGAACAGAAAGGTGATGACCTTGGTTTAAATGTCTTCAGCCAAAGAATGGCACATTTGATAATGCAGCTCCTCTGAATGTCAGTCTGGTCTATGAGGATTGTTTAAAAATCCAAGCAAGTAAATAAAGAAATGTTGGACCAAGAGACTGAATAACACACAATAAAACACAGATGCTTAAACGGTTGGAGATCATTTATGTTGCATTCCTAAAAGTTTTCAACACATAGTGTCTGAAAAAGCATCATTTTGAAGTCCCTTTCCTATGGGAAATCTTGTTACATTAGGTATCTTGTTTCTTTTTTATATCGTTTTCATGACTTTTTTTTAAAATTCTAGTGAAATCTGACATTTCTTGGGATCCTGCTGATGGTCCAATTCAAGACAGACCAAGGTTTGAAGCTGTGGCCTAGGCTGTTCGATTTTATACCAAACCAAATTGTGACTTAACCCACTAGGCTATAGGGAGAAACTACTATTTATTCCTATTATTGTTTCTTTAAATGCTTACAAAAATTACATCAGTGATTCATTGACAAACATCTAGATGTGTGCCCAAAGTCAGACGTGCATTTAAAAATCAGGACCTTCACTTGGGCCCACCAGTTCTTAGTACAAAAACAAATCGAATATTACCCTTCTATAAAGTGGGATTAAGTAACTTTCTTGAATCTGCACCAAATATTCTTTAAAATTGTCTTGACTGTGTCAGGGTCAAATGATTATTTGTGACCTGATTTTTTCGATGACATGCAGAATTGTGAACCCGCAATACACCAGTAGTTTGAGCAGTGAGTGTTTGTTTACCAGAGTCCTGTTTTAAATTCTAGATTAAGAAGAAGCAGCAGGAAGTGCTGGGCTTCCTTCAGGTCAACAAAATTGACTTTGAAGAATGCGATATTGCAGTAAATGAGGAAAACAAGAAATACATGAGAGAGAATGTTCCAGAGAACTGCCGACCTACAACTGGAAACCCACTTCCACCTCAGATCTTCAACAATGACCGATACTGTGGGGTAAGATGGAAAGAGTATTTCTCAAATAATGTTTATCTCTGGCTAATTTACCAAAAAGGAAACAATTAGTTTGCTGGTGTTAAAAAAGTAAGGGTTCCTCATTTTCAAATTTGTCTACCATGTTTAGTTTACTTACAAACACTGTTTCTAATCATGCCAGATGTGCAGTTATTTTTCCCCCAAAATAACCAGTTGAGGAAACAATCATTATAATAACAAGCGGAACAACACCAGCTGTCACAGTACCTGTGAAAGTCTGTTGAACAAAGATTTACCATCCCAATTAGCTATGAAGAGATTAAAGCATCGTGGGGGAGTAATAAGTGTTTTGTTTAAAAGAACTGCGCAGAACCACAATTCACAACATCACATAGGATCTTCGCCCTGGGATTATAATGAGGAATGCGCTTTGCTTTTTCACAAAATATCTATTATTTTCCGTTGATGCCATTGCGCAGTGATGTTTTTATGATTATTAGGATATAAAATATAGGTACTGGAGAACAATTGAATATAGAAAACTGCAAATCCTGCTTGTTCATATGGAGTTTTCTTCACTGTTATTCACCAGCGCAGCTCCACCAGTGGCTGTTTGCTACCAAATGGCCCTTTTTTAAAAAAATGCTTGATGCATTGATGGGGAGGAGAATGGTAGGGTGGAGGGTTATGGAGTGATGAAGTTGGATGAGCTGAAGGGCCTTCTTCATCCAGACCAATCTTGTAACTTCCTTTTCTTTTGCTTTCTATTTCCACTTGTACAAGGAGTAGGAGAGGAGCTGAATGTGATTCACTGGTTCTGAACTGATAGTATAACAATCCCTATTTTTCTTTGCAGGACTTTGAAGCATTTTTTGATGCCAGGGAGAATAATGCTGTGTATGCATTTCTAGGCCTGACAGCTCCACCTGGATCAAAGGTTGGATTTAGTTTCTTAATTAAGCCTCGGTTTAAATCTGCAGTCTTTTTTCAACAAGAGAAGAGACTGCAGGTCACCTCCAACAGAATGTTTGAAATGTTTTCTAGCCATACTGTTTCGTATTTATCTTTTCACTCCCCAAATTTTCTCAGCGCACAACCTCTCCTTCAACTACTGACCTGCACTGAGGTATGGTTGGATAGGCACTGGCAGCTCTCTGATATACTGCTCAAAGTGGGTCTTTTATGATGTGAGAATCCAGACAGTGTTGGCAGTGCTGCTAACACCTTTAAACCATATCCAGTTTGCCCTTCAGGAGAGGAAACATAAGGAGTGAGTGAGCATACTACTTTCTATAAAAATCACCCAAGAATGCTACGACGGGTATCACAATAACTAACCACCTCAGATTTGCATGTCACGAAAACACATATGAGGTTCATCTCACGCAGGAGTTCAGAGTACATGAAATGACCCCAAATTAATTATGTAAGAGGCAGGCATTTTCTACCATTCACATTGTGCTTCTTGTTCCTTATTGCTGGGTGGGAATTAAATTGGGAAAACCAGATGAGACCGTTTGTATTGTGAATCTCTGATGCAACTGGTGTACTGAACTAATTACAGCCCCTCATGAATATGTGTTGAGTGCTGCTCAATAAAATGGGTAAGATTGAGATGAGGCACTGAAAGGCTTTTGCTGGGCAATGAAGGGACAATATAATTGAGCCCTACGATTCATTCTCATGAAGGGATCAGAGGTTAACTGAAGAGAATGGAAACGCTGCGTTGCAGAATCCTATTCTGAAGCCAGATGAGGAACTTGGGACCACATTGCATTCTGGGTTAATACAACAGAGATGGATAATTACTGACAACTACGACTCAATGCTTGGTGTCGACCCTCACCTAAAAATATACATATATTTATTTTGGTTTTATTGATAAGGCGATTTGAAAAGAATCAAAAGGCAAAATGTCATTACAATGGCTTGTTATGCAAAGTGTTTGTGAGGCAAGTGTCATGCGTGCCTGGATATAACCACTAAAGGATAATTAAAAGTGCGTTTTAGCTTATTGGTGCCTCCAGGTAAGCTTAGCAGCAGCTTCTGCTCCAATTACAATACATGTGAACTTGTAACCTAGCTGTGCACCAACAATTTAATTGGTCGGAGTTTTGTGCTGCTGTTACTTCAGCATTGTTAGGTTTCCTAAAGTACTCTCATCCCAATAAAGCTTATATTTACTACAATGCTCTTTATTATGATATCTATATATCCTGCAGCACATTTTAAAAAAATCATTTGCACTTAAATCCTAGTTCCTGATTTGCCAAGTTTTGTTTGTATTATTGCTTATCTATGTACATTCAAGCACCAGACCTGAATGAGTAAGGTATTACATTGTCTCGGTATTGAGTAAGGTATTAATTGGTCCTCCAATTATTTACATGTGGCTTGTCTCAAGAGAAAGGAACACATAAAATTAGGTTTTCTTATATCTGAGTTGAAAATAACAAACTCCTTGCATTTGATATAATAAAATTCAAGGATCATCTTATTTTCTTTGTTGGTATGCTGATGGAGACTTTTTATTTTAAACTACTTTTATGTAGAGTTTTAAACAGCTTCAAAAGAGTAAACGTTCAAAATAGATATCCAGATTAGTGATAATTGCAGACACAGTAGTCAACAGAAGGACATTTAAACCATTGCTGGAGTGCAATGTGTTAGTGGGACATTGCTGACTCAGTAGCTTGGGTTTGAACCCAGATGATTTCTCTTTGACCGTGCCTTCAGCTCCCCTCTCAACTCTCTACCCCCTCCTCGCTCCCTCCCTTCCCTCCCCTCACCCTGACCATTTCCCCCCTGCTCGCTCCCTCCCTTCCCTCCCCTCACCCTGACCATTTCCCCCCTGCTCGCTCCCTCCCTTCCCTCCCCTCACCCTGACCATTTCCCCCCTCCTCGCTCCCTCCCTTCCCTCCCCTCACCCTGACCATTTCCCCCCCTCGCTCCCTCCCTTCCCTCCCCTGACCATTTCCCCCCTCATCGCTCCCTCCCTTCCCTCCCCTCACCCTGACCATTTCCCCCCTCCTCGCTCCCTCCCTTCCCTCCCCCTGACCATTTCCCCCCTGCTCGCTCCCTCCCTTCCCTCCCCTCACCCTGACCATTTCCCCCCTCCTCGCTCCCTCCCTTCCCTCCCCTCACCCTGACCATTTCCCCCTGCTCGCTCCCTCCCTTCCCTCCCCTCACCCTGACCATTTCCCCCCTGCTCGCTCCCTCCCTTCCCTCCCCTCACCCTGACCATTTCCCCCCTCCTCGCTCCCTCCCTTCCCTCCCCTCACCCTGACCATTTCCCCCCCTCGCTCCCTCCCTTCCCTCCCCCTGACCATTTCCCCCCTCCTCGCTCCCTCCCTTCCCTCCCCTCACCCTGACCATTTCCCCCCTCCTCGCTCCCTCCCTTCCCTCCCCCTGACTATTTCCCCCCTGCTCGGGTCCTGACCCAACTGTGCAGCGCCTTGGGACGTCCTCCTGACGTGAAAGGCGCTTTATAAATGGAATCTTGTTGTTGTTGTTGTCCTCCCGACATGAAAGGCGCTCAATAAATGGAATCTTGTTGTTGTTGTTGTTGGATGACTAGAAGTAAATAGGAATAAGACAAGTAAGGGACATAAAAGAATCATACATAAATATCAGAGATAAGAGTCACCCACCCACAGTGGTAAAGGGGTAAAGGATGCTACTCTCATACCTCCTAGTGGACAAATGTAGTAGAACACCATTCAAAGAGACTGATTATTTTGGGGGCTTGAATTCTACTTGCAATTCTGATGATGTTTTTGTAACATATTTATCTTTGCTTTGTTTCAATGGGATATCTCATAGATTTTGTCCTTATTCCACAGCCCTCTTAAAATAGCATTTGTCAAGCAAACCAGTTTTGAAAATTGTAATAAATGGAGCTGGAAGTGTGTCCGAAGTAGGTTTTTAAACATCAGCTGATCACTGCAGTTCCGATTTTAGAAGCTTTGCTTCTTTAACACTTTTCTTTTAGGCTTTGATGGTGTGAGTAGTTATGCAGGAGCAGACTAGATCAGAAAATGTCGATCGCACATCTTTTTTTCATGTCAATAAGTTTAACTGACTTTTGTTTCTATTTTCTGATCTTTGATGCAGGAAGCTGAAGCCCTTGCAAAGCAAAATGCCTAAAGCTCGAAGTTCAGAAGCAAAAGAAGAAGCACAACACTCAGTTAGAGCAAAAGAAAGTTGTGATGTCAGGCAGAATTAAACAGAGAGGACCAGATGTGATAATGTTACACTGTTTGTGCAGTGTTGAAACCTCTTTTACTTAAGCGAACATCAAGTATATTTCGTCTTTTTTAACAAATAGTTATTGAGTTATTATGGACCACCAGGTTTACATAAGAATATTTTCAATTTTTTTTTACTTGATCATCTTATTTGTTTTACACAGATAGCCAAATTGTTACACCAAAAAATGAGTTATTGCAAAAGTCACTATAGAATTTAGGCTTTATTATTGCTTTGGTTCAGTGGCAACATTCCTTTTCCTTTAACCAATTGGACATTGTTTCTGTCAGAGCTAGTTTTAAAGTGTACAGCTGATTTCAGTAGCTGTGCAGCTCAGCTACCAGAAGATCCAGGTTGCTCATTTTGATTCAATGTATTCTCAGTTAGCTCAGGACACTGGGATGAAATTCCACTTGCTACTAAATGTAGAGGTTTTGAAGATGCGAATTGTAACGGGAAAGTCACCACATTTAGTGACAAAAGGAATTTCTTTTTGATGTGTTAATGCTGTGCGGCTTGTTTCTGGTGTGAGCTTTTTATTTACATCACTATCACAAGATGAGCAGTAGAACTGTAGTATAACTTGCCCAGTTCAGCTTTTATGACCATGTGATACCAACATGGACTCAGAATATTTTTGCTCCCCATTTTGAAGTTGATGTGAAGGTAACACCAACAACAACTTGGATTTATAAAGCACCCTCCACGCCGGACAGCATCTCAGAGCGCTTGTGAAGTACAACAGATCCTTGTGTAGTACAAGAGGCAAACTAAACCATTGGGGAAAAAAGAGTGAGACCTTTTTTCATCATCTTGTATTGATTCTTTGAGTTCAATCCTGAACTAGGAGATGAAAGGAAATCATGTACAATATAAAATACAAAGTTGAGAATTTAGACATCTGTAGCTTTGATAAGGTCCAATGAGAGGTAGACTTTCAGAACATTTACTATATTAAAAAGTGTGATCAAAGTCTCAAAACTTGTTTTTTTTTAGAATTGTGCTGCATCTGCCTATCCTCAGTTCAACACAGTGCCAAGTATAAACCCACAGTCAAATTTCAGATGCATTCAAGCTGCTTTGATCATTTTATTGCAATTATAAGTAAATGAAAATATCACTTATAATTATGATAGGCAAGGCATGTTACTGTTGATCTTCCGACTGAGACAGTTCACAGTAATTGTGTTATTGCTCTGAAGATCTTCGACGTGCACTTTGAGAGTTAAACACATTTCAAAATGCTTTAAATTGAGCCAATGGATTGATGCTTTTAATATACAAGTCTTAAAAAAAATCGCTGAAGAATCGTATCATTCCACCATTATTCAAGACTTTTGCTTTTGCCACTCTCATGATTGACAGTTATCGATACAGTTATGCACTGAACCCGATTTACAGATTACATGATTGATTGCCAATATATTTTAGATATTTTGCATGGGAAAGATAGTTTGAAAAAAAGACTTGAGATTACGAGATCATGTTTTGCGCAGAGGTTCCAGATTTTGCATTGTGTACATTGTGAAACTGACTGATCGTCTTACTCCTTTTATGCCATAACAATGAGCCATGCATTGTCAGACGTTAACTTGATAGACAGGAGTCGCTGTGGCTCATGTATGTAAACAAATCTTTCAATGTATAACAACATATCTGGGATTTTTGCAATTGCTGTTAAGATCATGTATGCTTAAGGAACAAGTTGTTAAAAATAAAATTGGATAAAATATTATTAGAGTTGTGGTGTTTGTCTTAATACCATAAGTATTTATGAATATAGATGTTTATTATTCTTTATCCTTCGCTGTTTATTATTATTATCCAAATAGTTATTTTTTAAGAAGACGAGATGCATGATTAACGGGACTATTTTTGATGGCCCAGTTTTTGGTTGGTGGTATTTCACCACATTTCACTGGAGGATTTTCTGATTAAAGCTCCTTGTGCCTGGCAGCATTTTATTTTTAATTAGGGCAGAGTGAGTATCAGTAATGCTTTCTTGACCCTGATTTTCTGAAAAATCTATTTGCTTTTCGATGTGTAGCCTGACTGAGCCTCAATTGAAGACAGATACCGAACGTCTTGAAAATAGATTTTTTTTCCTCATCCATTTCATATTGCCTCTATGATCTATAGCTCCTTCTCTCAATGGTATCTGGAAGATAAAGATAATCCTATCTCGCAATTTCCTACGTCTACGCATACACAATTTGTGTACTTCACGGTAACATCCTGTGAAGTGTTTTGAGACATTGCGATGAAGATATTGAAAGTTGTTTCTGGCAAACTGCAGTGCAGTGTTTCTGGCAAACTTCAGCAGTGCTGTCATTCCTATGAGATCAGTGCACCTGACATGGATTTGGCAACCTTGCTTAGATAAAATGGTTTAATGCAGTCTTGCCATTTGTGCAGTGTAGGTCACAAAGGAGGCTGCTATCACATTTCTTGTGAAAAAATGTCATGTCAAGTGAAAAAATACTGACATGTTTGATCATAATGTCTGATAATTGGACATAACCATATATTTGAACAGTTAAGTCTTTTTGATGTGTGATTTGTAGTTTATTCTGAAAATAAACCTTTCATTTAAAAAAGAAGGAAATCCCCCCCCACCCATTTGAGTTAGGATGTGATTTAGAGGTCAGCTGGATAGTCTTCATTTGTGGAATTGGAGATGCTGATCAGGGAAATTGTTTTGTATTGAATATGTGAGTCATCCTTTTGCCTTTCATTTGTTTTTATCTTTCAACCCAGAGAATGTACGTAACTGAATATAGGGAAAGGAAAATAGAAATTCGATAATTTTAATATAGAAAGAGTGTCTCTTACATTGTAATAAATATTCTCAATTTTAGTCCCTCTTTCTTTCTTCGATAAATCTTATCAGAACCAGCAGATGTTTTTGATAACTTCATAAGTTTGAGATAACAGCTTCTATTTTGAATTGTGGAAAATGCTGACTTAGAGAAACACAATAGAAAAGTGATTGTATACAAAATCTGATAACTAAATCTACATGGATCAAAAATCCATTATGCTACCGCAATTGATCAAATATGAGGGTCAGCACTTATTTCCAATTAAAATGGTGTTGAAAACAACAAAAGAAAAGCTCCACAGATCAAGAACTCAGATACATGTTTTGGCTAATGAAATAATTAGGAAAAGGATTGATTTAAATTAATAATACCTACGCAGTTAATATTTTCCCCCAGTTTTTGATGGATTCAGTGAACTTGCATGACTACATGATTCCATTTCCTAAATATTTTGAAGAACCTTAATCACCGTTTGCTTTTTTCCAACGTCAGTTAGTGTAAGTTTCAGTTCAGCTGTAGAGCAGTTATTATATAATTTCAGCAGGTGGCACTCCTCTTCTGAAATCCTGAGTTCTGGTTTCTGAAACAAGATTCCAGTTCTCAATTTGGATCTGCAGATTACTGCTGAGTGTTTTGCAAATAATTTCTTATTTTCTTCCAGTATCATGTTCCCTCCTTGGTTGAACGAATGAACTGAAAAACAGCGGGTGTATTTAACCATCAGCTAATGAACAACATAAACACAACTTGGGACAAACGGCCCTACTCGTCTGGGAGGATAATTATCACATCACGTTCTTCAAATTCCCACCCTGCACACGTTTCAACATGTGTGATTAAAAAAAATCGATTAAGCAAAACAGACATCTCAGATATCTCAAATATTGCAGAACATTAATTTATCATTTTTCATCATAGCACATGAAGCATGTCTACGAGGTTTGTAGTTGTAACCTTAACACTGTTATCCACGATTCATTGAAGGTGTAACAGTATCAGTTTTGATTGCAGTTGCTGGATGAATAGTTGCTCAAATGGATTTGGTTACTATACTTAAACACAAACATTCAGTTCATATTTCTTTTGGCAATGCTGAGTAAACAATTTGCAGTTGTTTCTACAGTGAATGTAAATATTGTGGTGCATTGTACAACTGTATCTAACCATTTATGTAATTATGAAAGTCTTACTTACGTTTGTCAGTGGTTTGACAATGACTAACAAGAGGTGGAAACAGTACTCTGATGCATACTGCAACCTCGTTGACTTTAAACTCAACAATACAACCTGATATATTGATAATTGATAATTATGTTCTTGGACCAGGTTTCCTCAAATAAAAAAAAATATGCGGCAACACCTTATTTTCTTGCTAAATAGAAAGTCTCACCCCTACGACTTTCCGTAGCATTAACTACATTTAAAGAATTCACATTTACCCTTATATTTTTGCATAGTTTCAAAGTTGAATTAAACATTGACCAATCTAATCAGTCTTTTATTCCATGCTTCTGATGCCTTGATACCTTTAGTTCTCAGCCAACAGCGACATCTTTTGCAAATTTACCAAACTCACACAAAGTAAGCCACAGGTTCAAAGGCCCGATATGGGCTTTAAACCACAACTTTCTGACTCAGAGGCAGGAGTGCTACCAACTGAGTCAGGCTTGACATCGGTAACTGCAACTGATGCTTCACAATAAATTAGATACTTTGCCATTATCACTACATTTGACAACCTCTTGCGAACACGTAGAGCTAACTGCTATCATGATGATCTGCCAGCTTTCTTCACAGAATGTACTAGATCAGAATTTTGAAGAGGGTTATTGTAAAAAAAAAGGATTGCTATATCTCTGAAGGAAGGGTTAATGTTTCTGTGGTTTGAACATCAGACATTTTGACATCAGAGGAAGTTGATCAGAGATGGTCATGTGAACAGTATCATTTTTAGTATGTGGAATTATTTTTATAATGTCATCAAAATCATGACAAGCTCTAATTTGTGGGCGTTGTTTTGTCAAACCAGGAACATATTCAGATAGCACAGGCCAGGCAGCAGTCTATCAGATCAGTAAAACAGTGTAAGAAGCTGTCGTGGGAAACTAGCTGATAATTTGGTTGTAATTCTGGGCTAAGAATCATTTCTGTAGCGACATCTAACGCATATTAATACCATCTTGTTCGGAAGAGGACAAAGAAAACAAAGCTTCAAGTGTGTCAAGTAAGTGCAAGGTTACCTTTTCATTGTTTTTATAGCTCATTCATTTTTTGATCATTTTTGTTTCAACATTGACCCATATTAAGCTGAGTTCTCTCTTACAGGCACTAATAGACGAGCTGATAGTCTGATAGTCTATTTTTACTATTTTCTGTTTTTAAGGTGCAGTTTTGGATTGTACACTCTGTGCTATGTTCTTGCTTAATGCTTTGTGAATGTCTTTGAATGGTTTAGAATACACTTAAAAGACATTTTTGCATTTCGCACTTCATATACAAAGCTGGTCGTCATCGAAAGATTTTATTCCAACAGCACAGTCCCTTTCAATAGAGGAAATGTGTGTACTCGTTTCTAAAATGAAGAAGTGAAATGTCAAGAATTGGGAAGCATTGGTTCCTAAAACAAAATAAGATCAGCAGAATTTAGAAATAGGATAGGTTCTAAATATGCAGAATTTTTTTTCCCATTTTTTAAAAAAAACAGCCCATTTCCATTGTTTCATCCTTATATTTCCTTTCCTGAAGGCAGTATAAGCACGATACTGATCTATTGGTTTTAGCAATAGCTGGGTGGGGCAGCCAAGGCGAAACCTTAGGCCAGTTTCCTTTGGCTCTCAATGCTGTCTTTATGAAACAAGATAAAACATTGTCACAGAATAAATCGTCCCTTTATTGCTAAATGCTTTGCTAATTTGCTTCTATGTGGCTGACAAATCATTTTGTCTCTAAACAGCGATAGTCATGTTAGCTGAAGGCTTCGTCATTGGGCTTGGTTACAGCAACCTAGGAAACGACTGTAAATCCAACAAGAAATGTATGAGTTCCCAGGAAAAGCACAAGAGCACTGACTCTTGGAAGAAAATGATCAGTGAATGCCAGCAATGTGATGCAGGACAAGGCATTCAAAGCAAGTTAGGTGTCTTAGGTAACATCGTACAAGAGAAAGCAGAATCACTCCAAGCTCAAGAAAAAGAAACATCAAATGGAGGGAATACCTGGATACCTGTGTTTACAAAGCAAACATCTGATGTGTTAGGTATACCAAACACCTCAGCATACAGTGCCAAACCTTTGGATTTATATACATCTTGTTCAAGCATTTGTAAGAGCTACACAGATTTACAGATTGCAGGTCATATTACACCCAATAGTTGTACAAGTTCAGGCTGTTTTATGTCTGATGATTACGAACTCTCCAGTTGCAACTTTTCACAGGTAGATGACAGTGCTGCATGTAACTCATTCCTGCCTCTCAATGCGAGAGTCAACAACTCTCTCGGGTTGATACGTTCCTCAGCAGCGACAGAAGCATCCTCCTTCAGAGACAACCATTAACAAACTCCGTGCTTAATAACTACATGGAACAAAAGATTGCAGAACTATATAAGCAATACCTGCAAGACTGCCTGGCAAAATGTGCATCTCCGACAAAAATATTGAGCTCCAATTTTCTCATGGCCAACATGGATCAAATTAGTTTACAGATTTCTCAAGAAAAGAACATGGAGACCACTAAAGCTAAAGACATGGTTATAAATTGTCTCCTGAGTGTCGCATGTGCACCAAATTCATCTGAAATCAGCACTCCCAATTTGCAGATATCGTTGAATAATTCTAACCAGCAAACTGATGGAAAAGCCAAGAAAAAGAGGAATAATATTTTACTGAACTATTTTACTGAACTCCTCTTCCC